TGGGGGTCCTTTTTGGGGTGGGGAGGGTGTTCAAATTGAGGGGTCTTGGGGCTTGTAGAGCTGGAAAACCAGCAGGAAACTCCTTTTTTTTGGGAAGGGAGAGGGGAGATCCATGCCCACAGCGATTCTGGCAGTGGGAATTGCTCCCATGGAGGGGGAGGATCCCGGGAAGGCCGAGCAGACGGGGTTTGTGTGCTGTGTCCATGTGCCCGCGGCTGCCCCTCCCTGCCTGTGTGTCCCCACCAGGGATGTCCCGTCCAACTGCTCCTCTGTGTGTCCTGTGCTGGGAATTCCGTCTGGGCAGCTGGGAATGAGCTGGGAAAACCCAAATAAACCTTCCTGGGAGGGYGGGCAGCATTGCCCAGGGTGGGGTTTTTGGGATTGTTCTGTCGGTGCTGCGGTTCTGTCGGTGCTGCTCTTTAGGGGCGGTTCTGATGCTGCCCTTTGGGGTTTTCTCCTCGCTGACACCCCCTGGGTTTTCCCTTCCAGCTGAAGGAATTTGCCAACTTCGACTTTGACGTCTGGAGGAAGAAGTACATGCGCTGGATGAACCACAAGAAGTCTCGGGTGATGGATTTCTTCCGGCGCATCGACAAGGACCAGGACGGCAAAATCACCCGGCAGGAATTCATCGAYGGCATCCTGGCTTCCAGTGAGTCCCTGGGACCGGTCTGGAAAACCCATTTTTGCTTCTCCTGCAGCTCTGTCTCCCTGCTCACATCCTGGATTCCTTCTTTTTCCAGAATTCCCCACCACCAAGCTGGAGATGACGGCGGTGGCCGATATCTTTGACCGCGACGGTGACGGCTACATCGACTACTACGAGTTCGTGGCCGCCCTCCACCCCAACAAAGATGCCTACAGACCCACCACTGATGCTGACAAGATCGAGGATGAGGTGAAGCACCAAAAAAATGGGGTGCTCGGCATGGTTTGGGGTGGATCAAGCTGCAGGTTGGCAGCAGGGAAGAGARAAAATAGGTTAAAAGCGGATTTTGGTGATGCCGAGCCAAAATAATTGGTTGGAATTGAGGAGGAAAAAAGTTTGGGGTTGATTTATCGATTTGGTTTTGGGGGAGGGTTCCTGAAATGCCCATTCCTGACCTGTGCTGTTGGTGTGGTGGCAGGTCACCAGGCAAGTGGCGCAGTGCAAGTGTGCCAAGAGATTCCAGGTGGAGCAGATCGGCGAGAACAAGTACAGGGTAAGGCAGAGGGGATGGAATTCTGCCCAAATTCTGCTCCTCCTCCCCAGGGGATGGAATTCCCCCCAAATCCTGCCCAGGGGATGGAATTCTGCCCAAATCCTTCTCCTTTCCACACCCAGAGAGGGGGGATCACCCAGAGGATGGAATTCTGCCCAAATCGTGCTCCCCCTCCCCAGGGGATGGAATTCTACCCCACATCCTGTCCAGGGGATGGACTTCTGCCCAAATCCTGCCCAGGGGATGGAATTCTGCCCAAATCCTGCTCCCTTTCCACACTCAGAGAGGGGGAATCATCCAAGGAATGGAATTCTGTCCAAATCCTGCTCCTCTTCCCCATTCAGAGGATGGAATTCGCCCCAAATCCCGCTCCCCCTTCCCACCCAGGGAGGGGGGATCACCCAGGGGATGGAATTGCCCCAAAATCTTACCCAGGGGATAAAATTCTCCCCAAATCCTGCTCCTTCTCCCCACCCAGAGAGTGGGAATCACCCCGGGGTGCTCCACCAGGCGAAGAGGGACCCAGGGCGAGGCAGAGCCCTCCTCCCCTGGCACGGAGGTGGCCTGGCCATGTTTTCCCAGCTCAGTTCTCAGCCCCAGGGCGTTCCCTGAATCGGGAGAACATAAAAGTGTCCCTGTTCTGGGGCAGGCGGCGCGGGGGCCCCGTGAAACGCGGCATTGACRGGGCCGGAGCCGCCCTGGCCGTGCCCTCCTGGATGAGTGTGCCGCACGCCCGTGTTTTTCTTAGCTCGCTCCYGAAGAAGGGAGAATAATTTCCTGACAGAATCTCTTTGTAACGAGCTGCTGTTTATGTTTCAAACCCTCCACYGAGGCCAAGCCGGGGCAGAATTCCCGTTTTTCCTGTCCTTGCCAGGTTTGGGGCCGATCCCCCAAACTCCCAGAGCTTCTCCTTTCTCCCCCAAAACATCCCAAAGCCCCCGGATTTCTCCTTCCTACAGTTAACAGATTTCGTGATTATTGCACTGTTAATCCCATAAATGTTTTTTTCTTGTTTTTCTTTCCCCTCCTCTTCCTCTGGACTTTCCCCCCCTCTCCCCGTTCTCTCTCCCTCCATAGTTCTTCCTCGGCAATCAGGTACAGTTTGCCTCGTGGTGCTGTCTCTCTCTCTCTCACCTCTGGGATTATTTTATTTTTTTTTTAATAACCACCGTAGCTCTGTGTGTTGTGGTGCTGCTCTGTCCTGTGGTGCTGTGGGAGTTTGTGATTTGGGAGCGCTGCCTGGTGCAGGGGAGAGCCACCCCAAAAAAAAACAAAATTAAAAAAAAAAATGGGCAGAAAAAATGGGGAAAAATCGATGGGAAAAGCAGAATTTGGTGAAAAAATTGATGGAAAAAGCAGGATTTGGGCAAAGCAGAGAGGTTTTTCTCTCTGGGGGTGTTGCTGGTGGTGAATCCTGGCACTGGATGAGTTCTCCAAGGGGGGCACAGCCTGCACCAGGCTCTGGGTGGGTTTGGACCACAATCACCCTGGAATGGGAGCGCTCAGTGATCCCATAGGACAGCTGAACCTCATCCCTGCTGCACCCACCCTCCCCAAACCTGCATGTGTCCCCATGGTGGGGTGACCTGCCATGAGCATCAGGGCTGGAGCATCCCCTGGTGTCCTCACTGCTTCTCCCTGAATTACAAAAGCTTCYTTTCCACACTCAGTGATGGTGCCCGCCCCAAAAGATGCCCCAAAAGATGCCCAAAATGCAACAAACTCAGATGCTGGGAGTGGATGACTCCTGAGAGCTCTTGCTTTAGCTTAGGTGGTGATGACAGAAATGTTTTCAACAAAAAAAAATGGAAAATCATGAGAATTGACTCGGCCCTGGGGTTGGCTCTTGAAGGATACCTCGTGCAGAGCCTGGAGAGAGGGAAAAACTTCCCTGCTCCCTTCCTGACCWGCCCTGACCCACCCCAGTCACTTTGCCCTCTCTCTTTCCATTGAATTTCTCATTTTTTTGCACCTCCACTTGTGGAAAATGTTCCTGTTTGTGGTTTTTTTTCCCCCCACTTTTTTTAATCATTCTGGAGAGGGTCTTGCATCCAAAGCCAGTTTTCCTGGTGCTCTGGATGCAGAGCTGCCACATCCCAATGTCCCTCCCTGGCCTGGCAGGCACCCAGGGGTGTCCAGGAGATTTAGGGGAGCTTTAAAAAAAACCAACACACGGCTTCTGATCCTTCTTTTGCCACTGCAGGCATTTCTGATCACTAATGACCATCACTAATCAGCATTGCTGGGGATCCCTGCCTGGATTCCATCACCCTGAGCTCACCCCAAACRTCCTCATTGCCATTGCAGCAGGGGCTTCTTGGCTGGTGGGGGTCAAGCCTGAGGCTTGGGGGAACCCCTGGATTTCAGGAGAATTCCTGGATTTCAGGAAAATCTCTGGATTTCAGGAGAATCTCTGGATTTCAAGGGAATTCCTGGATTTCAGGARRATCTCTGGACTTCAAGAGAATTCCTGGTTTTCCAGGAGAATCCCAGGATTTCAGGCTTGGTGATGATCAGAGTGTTCTTGCTGGGCTTGTCYTGCTGAACGAGGSTCCTTCCTGCTYGGGCTGCACCMRGRRGGKYMRGGSMWTSSCMAMCYYYYCYTYC